GGTGCCTGATGCTGAACCTGAATCTGCGCCATCGCCAAAATTCTAGATTTTCTTTCTCTTTTTTTTTTTTCTTTTTCCGCTTTTTCTCTGTTTTTTTGTTTCCCTCTCCTCGGGTAACTTTTCAAGCTAAAACCTAGAGAGATAACAAGACAGTAAATCTGACTCTAATTAAATTCAAGAGAACAAAACGCTGAAAAATGAGGTTTTTGTGTCTACTTCTTTGATTTTTTTATTTTTTTGAGATTTTAGAAGATAGGAAGGAGAGGGAAAGGTAAGTGGGATAGATCGTCGGAGATCCGAACGGAATCTGACGGAATTCGACGGGGGAAGAAACCAAAATATTTTTTAAGGTTTTTGAGAGGGAGGGCAGAACAAACTGCACCGCACCGGCTAAAGTACAACTGTGCGGTTTATATAGCGAAGTTACTAGAAGAAACCCTAGATTGATTTCAAAACGAACGCGAACTGTCTGAGATAGACACCTGTCAGGCTGCCACTTCTCTGGGGGGGTTCCAGTTAAGAGATAATCGGGTATTAGTATGAGTAAGTAACCGACTAACGACACGTCTCAGAATTACTACCCGCCAAAGACTGTGGTTTTCACTTATTTTACCGTGCTTAAAATTTGTGAAATTATAATTTATAAATACCCAAAAAAATCAGTATTTGTTGATGCTGGATTTTGGCACCAACTAATTGTCACATGCGTAGTGGTGATTGGTCAAAAAGTACAAGTGATAATGAGTATATAAAGCGAAACAAATGCTATGAGAGTTTTTAAAGTGGTTCGGATGCTAAGGTAGCAAATCATCCGTCATGATTATATTGATATGATAGTGTGGGTCAGGTCACAATAGCGGACTGACTTACAAAAGATTGGGAAATAAATACAAAAAGCGTGAGAGAAAGAGAGTTTGTGTAAAATTGTCGAATCCCCTTAATGAAGAGGTCTTCCTTCTTATACCCAGTTGAATGTGCGTAATCATCACTAAATCTTGGGTGGTGTGATTGTCAGGACCTAATCTGATTTTACGTCCCATTACCATCTTCCAAGCCAATTTCATGCGTTTGGAGCAGGTTAGTGGACACGTGGGAGCACCAGGGGTTTGGTAGGCCTGACGTGGCGTTACCGTTCTGACGGGAGCAAGCCACGTTTCGTCACGCAACTCCACGTCAGCCTTGATTTTTAGTCATAACAGTATTAATAATCGGAAATTAATATTATTAATTAATTATAAATACATTGTCACCAATTATAATGTGTTATGCCATACAAATAAAAATCTTAGAGATTTACCAAAGCGGAAGAGAAGGATCGATCTAAAAAGGGAGAGAAAACGGAAAGGTAAAGTAATAGAACGGAAGAGGCCTCTATTCTCTCCCCAGAGCTGTTGAAAGAGAAAGAAAGCACCAAAGAAACAACACAATGAAAGAAAGAAAGAGAAAGAGAGGCCTTGAAATAAGATGAGACTGTAGAAAGAGAGATTAAAAGCGGACAGTAATCCTAATCCCAAATTTACCAAATAACCTGTTTAATATTATTAATTATTTTTAAAAAAGATTTTAGACAACTCCAACTAAAGAAATAACTTATGTTTGGCCACTTACCAAATATGTGTTTAAAATTGTTAATTATAATTAATCTCACTCAAAAACCAAAGACCCATATTTCAATGCGCAGCGTAGGAAGGCAGCCCCACTCTCGTTTTTGTTTCCATCTTCTTCACGCCAAGCACCTGCCCTCTCTTTTTACCATCACACATTTTCTTTCTCTCTCCATGTTATTGATTTGTTTGGCCTTTGCTTTACTTCTTCTTCTCTCATTTTTTGAGGAGACTCTTGTGACTTGTGACCCCCTTCAATATTAAATTACTACTATGACTACACACGTGGCATTGGTTTTATTTATTAATTGGACCCACTATAAGATGCATAGATTTGTTTCCTCCACCTAAATATCTGTTTGCTTGTATTCATTTTTTACTCTATTAATGGGAACTTCAACCTTTTATTTGCAATTAAATGGTCTAGGTAACGCAATGATGAGTGAGCATTGACCTAAAAAAAATAGAAAATTTTACCAAGTATTCTGTCGGTTTATTTTTAGGTAAATTTTATTTCAAATAGGAATGCTTGTTGGTGATACAAATAAAATACAAGTAGTAGATTATTAGTTTGATTAAAAGGTGTGTGAATAGAAATACATTAAAGTCTTGATAGGCATTTGTCCAGGTTCTGCCCCAACTTCCTTTAGTTAGCGTCTGCTACCGTTCATATCTCAATCGTGGGCCTCTTATTCTTGGTGTCTTTTGGTCCTATTTATGCCCTTTTCTTTTTTTCATCAAAGGCGTTTGCATTACCTTTGAATTTTATTTGAGGCCACGAAAACACACTCTAATATGTCCTTATGGGATTTGCGTAATACTCTTTAGAAAAATTAATGATAAGATCAAGAATGACGATTCTTCCACCAAAGAGAATATTAGAAACTCGCAATGCTTTTGACAATGAAATTAAATAAGTTGAACAACCTAACTAGCCATTACAAGACAGCGAAACCTATCCTCATCTCGTGCTTCTAGTTTTACGCACCAATAACAAAAGAATAATATTAATTTGACTTTTCTTTGCAAAGAAGAAGAATAAATACCACAGCACAGCAGGGGCAAAAATTAAAACAAGTCAAAGAAATCAAGGGGGATTAGTTATTTGCAATTATGTGGTTTAACCTATAAAATCTTTTGCTTTGATAGCTGTAGTGAAAGTTGGGTGGAATTGTGATTGTGATTTGAGTGAATTAATTTGTATGGCAAAAAGCTTATGACCCAAATTGAGTCTGTAATTGAGATGACCCACACACGAGCATGTGTGAGCGTATAAGGAGGAGGTGAAGATTGAATGTGCGATAATGATAATGATCATGCACATGCCAACTCTTACTTTGCTTTCCACCCAATTTCAATACTACACAGATAAGAAGAAAAGTGTGAATAGTGTTATTATCACATTATCAATTTATAACGAACAACTACAAAGGGAAGGGATCAACATTGCCTCTTAGCTACTACCCTACCTCCTTACTTTCTATTTATTTCTTCAGGATTATTTTTGCTATTAACAGAAGATTATCACGTCTCACTCTCACACCGCACCGCAAATTATGGTCATTACTCATTACTCGCATAAAATAAATGCTCATACTGTGACATTTAACACATTGTCAAACATGTTCCACAATTTTATATTAGTTTATTACAACAAAATAAAACATTGCACGCCAATTTATTGAAAGAAAGAAAAAAGAAAAAAGATGGTTAAATTCTGAATGAAAGGACTGCTGTTCAGATCAAATTAATTTGTTGTAGAAGGTGACTTCAATGAATAATAAGCTCAAAAGAGAGGAGGACGAGGGATTGAGCCATTCAGGTCCACTAGTTAAGAGTTAATGTGACAGGCTGACAGCAGGCCCTAATTGTGACATTGGTTAGGAAATACAGCTTTGTCATTGTGACCAAATTTCACCCCCCCTCCCACCCACAAAAGAAAATAATAATAATAATAAATAATAATCTGACTACTCTACGCTAACTAGCATTCAACATATCTACATTCTAGAATAATGTGATTGGCAAATACTAACACAGCAATCATTTTCTAACCCAAAATTGCAATAAGTCCGCAGAACAAGCCACCCTGTATATTTCTAAAGCCTATTTTTTGGATAGATCAAGGTCCATTCTTTACCACACAGACAATATATTAATATTGCAAATTTCTTGCAGTACCAGTGTAACAGCTAGAAGCTAATTGCAGCGACATGGAAAATACCAAGGAAGGAAAACCGAAATAGAATCAACAGGTAACCTAATGGATCTCTATTCTTTTCCCCATTTGCAGCACCCCTCGTTAAGAAATAACTAACCAGCATTACCCAGCAACCAAAAAACTAATAGTTCATCCTCGACGCTGAAAAATCAAGCAAAAAATAGAAATCTTTGCATAATTATAAGACTTCTAAGTTTTTTCTCTTCCTCCATTTTCCTGGCAACCTAAATGATGCTTTAGGAGAATAATAGAGGATCTGAGAGAACAACCAAGAATCTATTCCATCACTGATGGGAAAATAAAAAATATTACTAAATTTTGTGCACTTAACTGAGAGGACAACCAAGAATCTATTCCATCCCAGAAGGGGAAATCTAAAATATTACTAATTTTTGTGCACTTAACGAAAAACACATATGAACCAGCGTAATGGCAATCTACAAGCTAACAATTATGTCATATATATAGGGACTTTAACAGTTCAACAATGAAGAAAAACAAACGAAAAAACATATCACCAATCAGAGATTATGAGAAAATCATGACAAGTCAGTTATTATCAAGTTCAGGTAATTATAAATGATTTGTCACCATCTCATGTAATACAATAACTTAAGCACTTCCATTATAACAGGTCTGCTGTGAGTAAGGGAATAAACACTAAGGAACCATACTTGAAGAATCTGAATATGTCCCCACAGCAGAAAGTTTCTAGAATCCATAACTTACGATAATTTCATCAGCCAAAGCAGTAAGTTGGCCTTCCAGAAAAATCCATAATTGAGATAACTTTATCTACCTCTGCACAACGAAAGTTCATAAGCATAAAACAGAACAGTTGTAAGGAATAAAAGCCTTGTCAAAGCAAGCCTTCAGAGTAACGAGGTGAAAAAGTTGATTTTTCCACCACCGAAAGTGATAAAGAACTCCACCATCAAACAGACTAACTTTAAGATGAACAAGCTGGGTGAAGCAGCTGATACATAAAGTTGCTCTCGACTTGCCATCATCCAATCAATCAAGCTCTTTATCCTTTTAACTAGGGAAAAATGCCTGTGACATTAAGAGCAATCTGCCAGCCAAACCACAAAAAATTGCCAACTGTTTAGTTGAATTCATATTTACAAGAAAAAATTAATAACAAAAGAGATATTGCAACATAACATGAGAGTTACCTTAACAGGCAAAGCAGTCCCGCTATGAAATCTCTCTCAATTTCAAGAATGCCAGTACATTTCTTCATCTAGAGTTTCAGAAGTTTTCGTCAATAGATAAACTGCCTGTAATTCTTGGGTCATGAAAACCCTCTTCTTTTGCTGGAAGTTAAATCCTATCTAAGATCCATTATATCAACAGTAACTTAATTCACCTCATTTCCATTGTATCAACAGTAAGATAGTTCACCTCATTTCCATTGTATCAACAGTAACATAGTTCACCTCATTTCCATTGTAACAACATTAACATAGTTCACCTCATTTCCATTGTATCAACAGTAACTTAATTCATCACATTTTGCATTGTATCAACAGTAACTTAATTCACGTATCTTGATTAGTATCCACACATACTTCAAAGTTATCATGGACAATCAATGCACAAGATCATCCAACTCTATGAAATCTTCCTCCAGAATTGATCGTAATTGCTGGGCTGCGACAGCATCAACAAACATACCACCACTACCAAACCCAGATGAACCAACCTGCATGGCAGCATAGCACATAGAATATTTTAAAGAATGTGCATGATTCAATATATAAACGTTTAGAAACTGGTTATATTTCATACATGCACAGTGTATTATTTGACGGTTAAGAAAGTGGATAACCCAAAAAAACCACTAAAATATGTGGGTGCTCCTTTTACGATAGCTAAAAAGTCACAAGAGTTTTAACCTTTTTTTTAAGTAGAATAAAACGAGAAACCAATGGGGTAAAAAGCTTCCAAAGGACAGCAAATGCTGAACCTCAGAGGCAAGATTTGTAGTATGGCACAATTATACCAGTGCATTTAATAAATTTCATCAACTTCTTTCACAAGAATTTGCTTGCAATAGCAAGTTGCTATTAGCTGTCAGCAAAACCAGATACATGTAACCCATAGCAGCCAAAAATAATGGTGTTTAATTGCCTAGAAATTGCTCCAAAATTTATTCTCTCCACTATCAACATACTGAAACAGCAACAGATGATACAACACTTCTGCATGTGGTTTGGTTCATATGCCTCACACGAACATCCAACATAAAGCACCTAAATTACAAAAATGCAACTATTCATTGTGAAAGGGAATGTGTAATTGTGAAAGCCATTATTCTTGGTGCCAAAAACTAAACACAAGACATAAACGGAAAAAATGGTACTATTTTAAACAAATAGGGAAAAGATTTGAAGTTACCTGCTCGTTGGGTGGGATGCCTGCTGGAAATTGAATGTGGGTAAGAGAAACAGGCCTAGAGCTGGCACGATTATCTAGCTGACTAACCAATTTCATTTCTTTTTCTGGTGTATTTTTTTTCCTGTCAACAGTGTTGTCATCTTGCTCTTTAGCTTCGACAATGTCAGGTGTAAGAAATCCATCATGCTGAACACCAATGTGACGTACAGCAGAAACACTTTCTTCTGCAACAGAACTTAAACCAATCTCTGATAAGCTATTTCCACCGTGAGATTTAAGAAATACTCGGCAGAGGACAAAAGAGGTCTGCAGACAGGTGGAAATATTAGGTTCCCAGCAGCAACAAATGAAAATCAACTAAAAGATAACACAAATCAGACTGATTGGTATAAGACACACAAAATTAGGTTGGTCATTATGTTCTGAATAAAGATAAATAAAAATGTAAACCTAGCTCAATTTCCCAACTAAATGGATAAATAATCATATGGCCAGATGCTGTGTCAAGCAAGTACAATTACTTTGCCAGTCTCCAACCATTGCCAAACTTTTTAGAGGTCACAAAATAGTAATGCAATAAGTAGAATATGAGAGAAGGGAAAGCTTTGGATTTATTGCTTTTTACTAATTTGAGGTTAAAAATAGGGCTAAACCAGTAGCTTAGTACAAGAAGTTTCCACTTTCCTAGCTTAATACATTCTTCAAATTAAAGTGAAGATAGTAAGAGGCAGAGTTTTTGTTTCTTAACTAATACTTCAATCTGCTTGACAAGGACTATATACAGAATATCTGCCATTAAAACTTCCCAAATTACTGAAACATACAACACATTGCTGAGAGTGGCTGACAGAAAATTCAATAATTCTAATGTAAAACTAAAAATTAAGCAGCAGAAATCCCAGATAAATCATATGTAATCATCTAAAATCCTGACAACAATGAACTAATTGCAACTAGTATTTCATAATTTCCTTATTATCAACACAAACCTCTTTTCAAGCATCTGATAAATCATTTTTAGCTCAAACAAATATACTAAAAGAAATCACTAACATTTCACTTCACATGTCCGTAACAGTAAGTTCCACATTCAACGCAATAACAATCAAGCAGTCCGCCCAATACATAACAAACTTCATCTGATCATATAAATTGAAACTCTGAAAACAGAACTTGAATTCACTAATCTCAACAATCCAAATTAAATACCTTGACATGGTGAACAAGTGCATACTCATGCATGAACCAATTAGTCCTCACGGCAGTTTCTAAAGAATCCCCCAAATAAAATACAAATCTCGTTCTGCTCCCCAAAATAATCTTCCCTCCTCTATTGTTACTCTTCACTACTTCTCCAACTCTCCCTTTCTTTCTCCAATATCCATTCTTTGCCCTCCAACTTTTTCTTCCATTTCTAACCCTAACTTTACAGTAACAGTACCAGTGCCTCCTCCTTCCTCTGTCACCGTACGTATAACACGCCTTCTCCGGTAACTCGTGCGGTTGGTACTCATGCAAATCTAGTTCTTTTATCAAATCATAACCGAATGGATTACCGGTTTCATCCGCGTTTGCGTTTTTGTTTGTGAGGTAATAACAGAGAAGCTGTTCATCGGAAGGGTAGAACTGGAAACCAGAAGGAAGTGGAAGTGACATCGTTTTGCCGCTGTTATCGTTGTTGCTGTTGGTGGTGGTATCTCCCATTGGATACGTTGTGCGCAGTTATGGTAACAACAACAACAGCCAGAATGGGAAATTTTCTTCAGGTTTTAAGCTAGGTGACCAAGATGCGTGCTCATGAAGTTTCTTTCTGTAAGTGATACTGTCTTACTAAGGTGTATGTTTTCCTTATTTGTCATTCGTCCCTTGAACGTGGAAAACGGTTGCTTATTAATGAGGTGGCGAGGTTTTATTGGACTGATAGAGTAATCAATTTTGACGGCTTAAAGATAAAAATGACCCAAAATTGGGAAATTGAAAATTAGCCCAAGGGTAGAAAGTGTCTGAATCTGAAGGGGTAACCCAACCACATTTTCCCTAAGTCTCTTAAGTTTTGAAAGACACTAATACCCCTGCATATATAAAACCAAATATGCACTTCTTTGAAACTCTCTTTCGTGGAACTGTTTTGTCTTCCCTGCACACCCATTTTTGCACATCAAAATCACTTGAGAAAGTGAGCAAATTGATCGATCGATTTACCAGTTGAATTAAGCATATAAGGCATGATTCGGTTGCTGGAGAGAAGTGGTGGGCGTCGAGTTTCCTTTTCTTGCGAAACAAAGTGACAGTATGACTTAGCCGATTGGAAGGTAATGGTTTTTGGATTTCACGACTTCACTTTCGTTACATTCATTTGCAATATAGTGGTTGTGGTTTCAGATTCAGTGAATTTTAGTAAGATTTATTTAAACTTGGGTATTTGGGTTTCGGATGGGTTGATTTGAATGGTTCCAGTGATGGTGTTAATCCGGCGATTGTGGCCATGAATGGCTCGATTTGTCTTGACGGTAAAAAACGCACAAAAATGATGAGGATACGTCTGTCCGTTGAATTCTGTGGGTTTGTTTGTGAATATGGAAACCGACCGATAGGGTGTTATCGTACGCTTTTACAGTAGCTTGATTGCACGACATCAATCGATAACCCCTATCGGTTGGTTTCGGGCATTTCTAAAATTGATACATACCAACCGCACCGGTAGCCATTATCGGTTGGTATGGGGCAATTTCTCAGTATCATATATTTGTAGTGTTATGTTTCTCATTTCATTTTAGGCTGAACGAACTTATACATACCCAAGGTTTGCCGTAACGACAAAGTGATATTTGAAAAGTTTTGAAACGATAAATAGGTACTTTTCGTCATGTGCTGTTAGTGATTTTCGTTTGATAATAGTGAAAAGATTAAAATGCCTTTGAAAGTTTGATATTTTAGTTTTTTATAAATTTAAAAATATCTAAAAAAACCTCCTCTAAGTTTGCTAATTTAACTAAACACCTTAAAATATAAAAATTTTATAAAATAATAAAAACACCCCCATCACCTGCAGTGCCAGATTCTAGCCTGGTCGAAAAATTGCGTTACGACACAGACCAATCAGATCTGTGTCGTAATGCGTCGATCTGGCCTTTTCCGATTAGGTCCATGACGGATCTGGCCAGAAAAGACCAAATGTATTGCCAAATCTGGTCGTCGAGGCCACAAAACTCTCGACGGCCAGATTTGGACGTAGATCTGACCTTTTTCGGTCAGATCCGTGGCAGATTTGGTCGAAAAAAGCCAGATCGACGCGTTACGATATAGATCCGACGGGTCTGTGTTGTAACGCAATTTCTCGGCCAGATTCTGACGGTGGTGGCCGGAATCTGGCACTGCGGGTGGTGGGAGTGTTTTTGTTAGTTTACAAAATTTTTAATGTTTGGGTGTTTAGTTAAATTAGCAAACCTAGGGGGTTTTTTAGAAATTTATAAAAATCTAAAATATCAAACTTTCAAGGGCATTCTAGTCTTTTCACGATTATCAAACAGAAATCACTAACAGCACATGACGAAATGTACCTATTTGTCATTTTAAAACCTTTTGAGTACCACTTTGTCGTTAAGGCAAACCTTGGATATGTGTAAGTCGTTCTCCCTTTCATTTTACTTTTGTTTTTATTTTTTTCCTAATTTTTGAATGTTACATATTAACATGCGTATGTTGAGGTTTTACCATTTATTTAATGATNACGGCCTAGAATTCAAGTGTAGCTACTTGCAGATTAGAGACTTTTCTTTCTCCGATAAATGAATACTACAAAATTAGATCAAAATTAAATCTTATCAAAATATAATATAGGTAACCACCCATCGTCATGATCAAATGATACGATAGAGACTCTTAGATATATTACTCAAGAGATTTTAAATTCAATTTCTCTTAATTGATAATAAAAGTAGTTATTAAGGTTTATCCTGTCATCGGTGGATTATGATATAGGAGCATTACCAAAGTCTTTTAAAGAAAGGTTATCTTAACGTAGGTCTGCTTCTGGCCTAGATCAACATAAGTTAAATAGAGTCTCTATCATCCTGATTAACGAATCAAGGTTCATAAGACAAAAAGAGCATTTTGTAGGTCCTTATACTCATTATGCCTAGCATTGAATAGACTAGGTACTCCCCTTACCAATATCTCAAATCCCATGATCCTGAACCGATCTGACTTGCGATCGCAAATCCCAAGTGTGTCTATGAAGAGCGGATCGAATTGTATTAGTGTCTATAATTGATTTCTTCTGTGTAATACTAATCGATAGGACCTCATTGGTAAGTGCTACAAGATCTCGTGCACTGGAACCTATGGTTAGGGACCCGAATCCATTAGTATGGAACATTTTCTTTTCCAAGTGAAATCCCCTAGTATATGAAAAAGTGAAAAAGTGCTTTCGTTGTTGTGGAATAAGAAGTCTTCTTATCTTAATGCATGTATTTAATTTATTCAGGGCTATTAGAGTAGGATCCACTTTTTGGGGAATATGAGTCGAAGTAATAACAAGAATATTTCTAGTAGAACATCTTTCACAATCCCTGGAGAGATAGTTCACTAATAGACCGAGGGATAAGTAATTCGACTCATTCACATCCAGATCATGAATGTTTGGAATCCATATTATGCAAGGAGACATTGCTTTTGCTAATTCGAATTGAAGGGTGATATAAAATCGGTCTATTTCCGACATCATATCGATAGTTAGCACATTCATCATAGTTAGAAGCTCCAGCTCCGTACCAAGGTCACGATCGATATCGTCACTAGCATCAATATCGTCAGTAGCATTAATATTACCGGAGGACTAGTTGAGACTTGAGAGTGATGGCATGAAGAGGCATCTTCATCTATGCTGCAATATTACTATCAACTTTGTTGCTAATTAACTGATTATATTCTCATTTTAATATCTTTTTCTAAAGAAAACAAACTCGAACTCACAAAGGAAATCATAAAAGAAAACGAACCAAAATCCTCTGTAATGTAGTAAACTATATGAATCAAAGCAACTACACAGCGGGTATATAGAGGAAGACTGCCACCGTTCCTCAAGCGATTTTCGTACCACCTTTTCGGTATGCTTAACAGGGGCCTGATTCAACTACCCCTTCCACAAATTGAACAGTAACGGAGACAAAGGTGTTTCCAGTTTTAATGGTATGTCATTGACGGTCGTCACGTATGCATCTGCTTGTTTGATCATGTGAGGATTGTGTGAGGAGACAAATGTGAACAAGGACTGGAATAAGGAAATTTTGGTAGTGTTGGCCTCTACATTTGCCTTGGATTTGATTTTAATATGGACTCTGGAATTCTGCAGTGACGTGGAAGAACGGAAGGTTGATTAATTAATTTCCTTGTGCTTGAAAGCTCTTATACTATGCATTAAAGAAATTCAAAAAAGCGGTTCCATCAATCGAGCTATGGTTCATTGAACAACCTATGGAGGTATAAGCTTATCCAGCAGAATCATCTTAAAGTCTTCTTGATTATCTGCTGCTTCTGGTTTCACTGGTTTTGTAAAGACAGAATGGAAAGATGAAAGATCCCATGGTGTCAAATAATAAGGCTGCTTCATTTCTTCTGAAAAACTTAGTGGTTCAACGAATACTTACTTTTATCCCAACCAAAAAGAAAATATTTTCAACTCATTGGCCTACAAGACTGAGCACCCAATCTGGTTCACCTTTTGGACATCAAATAGCCCCAACAAACATGTTGCCACAAAGGCAAGCCGAGAGGAAAAAAACTCAAAATCTTAGATGAAGGGAACATTGCATGTCTTATCCAAACAATGAAGCTGACAATCGGTCATAAACTACTCAAACATCTTGCCAAAGTTAAAATAAATTCAAAATTTAAAAGAGCAACGTCTGGTCACTAAGGCAAAGCAAAGGGTAAATCATGTCTTCACAAAGACAAGAACGGGACAACTTGCTACAAACCAGCCATGTATCTTCGCACAAAAGCAAACCAAGGGTAAATAAATTCATAATCAAAAGGATATGTGTCAGTGTGTGTCTTTTAAAAATCATGAGACTAATATTTAATTATACCAGCAAAGTGTTCACAAATTTCTGTAATTTTTTGTGACACTTGAAAATTCCAAATATTGCTTCTTTTGTTCTCCTATATTTTCTAGCCAACTAGTCGATCTTACTTTTTGGATAATAAATAGTCCCTTTGCTATCTTAAGCAATGAATCAAACAAATGTTTATAAATTGACCAAGCATCCTCCAAAAAGGGAAAATGGTACAATTCTTAATTATGCAACAAACAGATTTTTCAATAACCAATCCAACTGTATGCAACTAATTTCCTACTATAAGACTTCAAAAATTCAAATGTTGCCACTATGTAGCCCCATCATTCTCTAAAGCAAAGACTGAAACAATTGGTTAAAAACCAACCAGGCATCCTGGCCGCACTGGCAAACCAAGGGTAAGTGGACTCAAGGAGACAAATATCTATTATAAAAAAGCAAGTTTTCCAAAAACAGAAAAAACTATATTCAACAACCAATTTCTACATGACTTCAAAAATCCAGGCAGCCACAATTGGTCCAAGCAATGAACTTGATAACTCAATATAAACCAACTAAACATCCAGCCACAAAGGCGTGGCAAGAGTAAATAAACTAAAATTTAAGACTTTTAGCTGAAATGCATGTTTTCTCCCAGCAATGAACTTGACCATTTGGGCTAAACACATCTTGCTACAAATGCAGCCAATTGATCCTTATTTTAGACACTAAATGAACCCATCGTTCTCTTAAGCAATGAATCAAACAAATGATTACAAAGCATCTTGCCACAAAGGCAGCAAGTCAAGTTTGTAACAAAAATTCTTAGCTCTTGATCCATTATAAACTAAATTCTGGGTTTTTTTGGAAGAGTCCTATTAAGCAAAATCTGGATTGTAAAGAAGATTTATGTCAAGTAATTTCTTGGTACGAGTTTGTAGGGCCTTTTTAATATCAACTAAACAATATTTAAGTCATTGATTTACCATAATTGTTATGAATTTGTGTCACAAATTTGAGCTACAATAATACAGTTTTAATTACTGTCTAAGTTTCAAATACAAAAAATGAAGAATAAAATATCAATAAAAGCATTTTCTGCTGTGACATGAAGAAAATATGTGGTAGATTGCAATTGTTGCAATAGTAGAAAACAAAATTTCATTGTTCAACTTATAATGAAGACGCTCTCGTTGCGCAGGGTGCATCTGGTTCTAACAAAGGAATAAAGTGAATTTAAGGAGTGACTTTGTAATGTACATTATTTTTGCAAGCTATTTTGGTTTCTCAAATGACGTCGAAGACATGGATGCGTGGTCTGCTTTCTATTTAATTTGAATAATATACGAAGATTGACAACGGATATTGAAAACTAAACAGCTTGTTTCAATGGCACTCAACATTCAACAATATTATTGCTTGTATTTCTTATTCAAACTAAGGTAAAATGAAATTGATCACCACACATGAAGGAAAGTAATTTTAACTGATTGGATCAAGAAGTAGCTTCCATGAATTCTTGATCAGCTTCAAGAGCTCTCATGGAATTTGATGGAAGACATACCTCCAAATCAATGCTTCCGCCTCCCTCATGCCCCGGATATGCTGAAACTTTCCCATCAAACTTGTGCGCATAGCCACTGCGAAGTGCCACTGCTTTACCCATCCCAAACTCAGAACCGTACTTGTTGAACCTAGGTGAACTCCCCATCATTATGCTATATGGATCGAAGAACCTGTCCACCTGGTATATGAACGGACACTGCCTCCATGCTTCAAGCCACTCACGTATCGCTTTATCACTGTGGCTAACCACCGCCTCGTGCAACTTCCAAGCTGCCCATCCAAGATCATGTTCAAGCAGCTCACCAGCCGTCGTAACCCCTCTCAGTGCTTGAATTGAATTTCCAAAGTAATACTCCGACAATGGTGGTTCCAGTCTTGATCTGTTATTGGCGGCTAACCTGCAGCTGGTTGTTTGCTCGTGTGGTAGATTTCGTGTCCGAGTTATGGACCTCCACATAAGTGCAGATAAGGATTGATAGGAAGAGATTTTTTTGGTTTTTGCCTCGTCATTGGCCCTAGCTTTGATTTTAGCTATTGATTCTAATGAAAAGTGAAAAACTCTCTCTAGAAGTTGTGGGGATTCGAATCTGCTGATGAACTCATCATGACGAGTGTATGGAAGGTTGATAATTGGATCATGACCATCTGGAAACCAGCGCTTGATTATGGGTAAATTTGAGGGAGACTTACTAATCTTGCCTTGTCCTTGAAAGATCTCAGACCATGCGTTGAAGAAATTCCAGAAAGAGTTTCCATCACCTAAGCTATGGTTCATGGAACAACCTATAAAGATGCCATCCACCATTTCTGTTACTTGAATTGATAGCAAAGATGTGGTGTGACCATCATGGTTGATAGCTCTATCATGGTCAAAGAATGATTGAACCACCACTGGTACATAAGTGGGTGAAAGGATGTCAGAGATTGACAAGTCTAAAGATGCGTGAATAAATTTAGCTCCGGGGCTGTCATTGCAGTCTACAAAGACCACATAAGAAGGTGGGTTTTGGGTAGTTACTGTCTTAAATCGGCCAGCAAGAGGGTAGTAATGAACGAGGGTGACAGAAAGGGAGTGCTTAAGCTTATCAAGGAGAGTACTGATAAAATTTTCTTGAGCGTATGCTTCTGGTGGTTTGGTGAAGAGAAGACCTTTCTGGATATACTGAACAGAGATCATGGCAAGATCCCATGGTGTCAAATAACAAGGCTCCTTCATGTCTTCTGAAACATATTGTGGTTTGACAAAGCATTCTGAAATGTGTTTAACAGTAATGAGATCCATTTTTGCAGAGTTTTTTCGCCTGCTCAACAACCTAAAGTGGCTCTTTTGCTTTCTAAATTGTCCCTCCTGCTTTGGTAGTATAAATAACAGTAAGTCAAGGTTGACCTCGTCTAGTCTTCATTTATTTTATTTGTTTAATACCATTCCTCGTTAATTTGTTTTCTTTTTGTTTAATATTTAATTCATCATTCCACTGGGGTAAGGAGGGTAGATATTAGATAAAACCTTAATAAAGGTTAGAGTATATAGAACACTTGAATTGATCATAGCTTCGATAGGTGTATACTCTGAATTTGAAAAGTAGCCGGCATGCAATTTCAGTTGGTTTCTTTGTTACCAAGGAGTAACAGGTGCAGGGCCGCCTTAAAAGACAGACAAATTCTGTGTTTTTATTCATCTTATTTCTTGGAAACTTCACTATTTAACAATAAAAAAAATTTATTCCCTTCTCTTGATTGTGACTTATCGCCTAATCCCCGGAGTGGAACTTGAAATAATCAAAGGAATTTATTAATTTATGTTTTCTTGTTTAATAAGAAAATTAGAAATATTTTATTTGGCAGGTGGAGGATTAATTCTAACAGTCAATTCAAAATTATTAAGAAAATTCACCAACCGAGAGTGGTGAAATGGTCAAAATTGAGTTGTTGGCGAAGAATTCAAAGACCAATTACACTTATGACTTAACCGTAGCTGTAACCCAGTTGAAATCACAAGTTTATATTCCAATACATAGAGCAGAATTATGAAATTAATTTCCTTATTCTATCATCTTATTCTCAAAAAAATGTTACCACAGAAAAGTTGTCGAATAAATTTTCTTGTTCAATTATCTAAGTTTCAAATAAATGTTAAAATGTTGTCACATCAATTATGACATAGATACAAACTTTAATAGTTTGATAGAACTTGAAATCAAGGTCCGGATACGTTGTTGAAGGTCCATTCGAAAAAAAAAAAATGCAATAATACCATAATAAATATAACCAAAAACATAAGTACCAATAGATTAAGATAATGCAAACCAGTCAACATAGCAGCATGTCAAGTTCTAGCAAACTACGAATTCTACATGACAAAAACAGAACATAGCTGAGTTCAAACGTCATAAACCTACATAACGTACCAAAAACCGGACTTAGTTTCAATCACACCAAAAAACTTAAGAAACAAGATTATCATTCAATGACAAAGAGGCCAGTTGATCCGATGGGCTGTTAGCCTGCTGTGCAGCAACACTCCTCAGTACCTCCATGGCCTCTGCTACTTTCGCCTTCAATGCCTCCGGTGACTCAAGAAGATGCAAGACCTCAGTCTGGTCCATCTCCAGAAGCATACCTGTAACTTTAGCTGCCGCATCCCTTTCCAGCTGTTCCACAAGAGGGTATAAGCTTTCACCCAGCAACTGTCCATAAACCAACAATGTTGTAAAAATCTTCACCCCCAAGTCAAAAGTAGTAACAGAAGAGCACATATGTAAACAGATATAAAGATACATAAACATCAACTTACCGTTCTCTGCTGCTCTGGTGATGCATTTGCAAGGGCAGTAGACAATGCTGTAATTGGCATAGGTTGTCCAGCAGCAGCATCTCGCATGGGCATGCCCCCACCCATGTCATATGGAACAGGAAGCATACCTCCAGCAACACCAGGCATTGGAACTTCTGGCATGTTACGGCCAGGTGGGTATCGATACATTCGTCCTCTAGGAAGCATCTGGAACAAGCAAATTATATTTGAAAACTTATGCAAACTACAAATCACTAAAAATAAAAATCCATAAAAAGAATTTAAACAGACCTGCTGCTGCATCACAGGTAGTGGCTGCTGGGGCTGTTGCACAGGACCGACCCCACGTCGCCCTCCAGGTCGCTGGCCTTGCTGACCCTGCTGAACCACTGGAACAAAGAAATTTGGCATTGGAGCCCCACCAGGCCTCATTCCAGGAACAAGTTGCTGCTGATAACCAAATCCAGCCTAAAATGGAACATTTAGGATAAAAATGTCTAGATCATGAGACAGAATGTTAAAAAACGGAAAAAAAAAAAAAGAAAAAAACATATTCAGCCAATCTAACTACAAGGTGCTGTAACCCTGATACTAAAATAATTCAACCATATAGAATAAATAATCAATCCCTAACATTTGACCAATGATCATTTAAATTTATTTAATTCTTCAACAGACCAATAGATTGGCATGAGAGAAATGCCAGATTTACCATAAAGCCCATAAATTAGATTCACAACAGAGTTTGATTCACTTGAAAAAAGAAGACAGCATATGGAACTAGAAATAATGAGTTATTGCATCAAACTTTTGCAAGTGTCTGATACACCCTCAAAAGGCGTTTTAAGGAAATCATCAAAACCACTTGATCCGCAGGTCAGTTTGGCATTAGAAATAGCTGAGCTACAAGGGAAGGTTTAGATGGGTTATTTTTCTTCCAAACAGTCTTCCTGAAACAACGGCCATAAGATAAGAACCATATGTGCCTTATTTATTATTAGACAAATTATTTGTCTTCCAGCTTTCAACATCATAGAATAATGTTTGGGAGAGTTACCGACAGCATGTTGAAGGGGAAATGTTTTTGAAAAGAACAACTGAATACATTGGCAGATAGTCCGTGTAAGGCACAACTGATAAATTAGAAGACATAAATAGAAAAGGGAGAGCATAGAATAGAATCATCTTCCAACCATTTATGGTTGGGCCAAGTAGATCATACCAATAACAGAAACGAGGTGACTCAACAATGCTGTATCAGAAAAGACAAAAAAGTATGAAAAGTAAAGAAACAAGTAAAATATGGAAACTATGGCTCTAGGGCAAAAATTCCTATCATACAACTAATTCCCCACACAGTGCACATTAGATTCATGGGAGAAGCAAAAACTTTAGACATGTGCCATATATTTCCTTATGTTCAATATAAGGTAAAAAAAGTCAACAGTAATTATGAGTATGGTAGTCAGATTGGTTAAATGATAGACAGGTCGAATACCTGTGGAGGCATCATGGCTGGTGGTCCTTGGCCATATAAAAATTGTTGGCCAAGGCCTGGTGCACCAGGAGGGTACATTGGCATACGAGGTGCAACAGAGGGGGCCATAGCAACTGGTCTCATTTGTGAAAATTGAACCTGCCAAAAAGAAATACAAAATGGAAAAATTATTGCATAAAACTACATGACCAAAAACCCAGGAATGCTTATACACAAGCAATCCAAACATTCTGTACAAGACATATACCACATAATAAAGTGGTATAAAAACTATTGTGGCTACAATTTCACATAAACTACATCGTAAAATACACAAATAAACAATTTTAAAATGTAATTGATTAAAACTATATTAATTTTGATTAAACCAAGTACCAATTTCAAACAGCACCCAAATAAACCTAAAGATGAATTGGCAGCAAATCAGCTTAAATTATGCTGCAGTATTACACAACAAAAGAAAAACTCCTACCACAACAGAAATTGTACAAAAGAACACTTATATTCGAAAACAGAAGGCTTGATTCTAAACAAAAAGCACAGGTTTAAACTGTATCAAAGCAGAATTCATATTTGCTACAGAGACTCTCTTTCTTAAAGCTAAATGATAAAAAAATGGAGAATACTAAAGATACCTGAAGCCTTGCTCTTCTCTCTTCTTTCCTCTGTGCAAGTGCAACATAAAGTGGCTTGCTAACAACCATTTTACCATTCATCTCTGCCAGCTGTTGGCAAATAATGAAAATGGATATAAAGTTTTGCTCAGACAATAATTACATATAAATAATTCAGACTTACCGCTCGAGATGCTTCTTCAGGAGTTGTAAATGCCACGAATCCAGAGCCTTTACTGATTCCACTTGGATCACGCATAACCTATAAAAGATAGAAATGTAAAAATTTTATTGCACGCCACCAAGAAAACGGACATTGAATAAGTGCTACTGATTTAAAAAAATATATATTTCAAAAAACATAATCACAAACCTTGCAGGAAGTAATTGTGCCAAACTCTGTGAACAATTCCTTCAGTTTTTCATCATCAATACTATCATCCAAGTTCTTAACATACAAATTCAAACCTTGAAATTTGTCTACAGTTTCCTTTATGCTTTGCTCAAATCGCCCTTTCAATTCAAGCTCTCTTTCAGATTTTTTCTGAGCTTTTCCAACATACCACTCTTTATCATCAAATTTCTTGCCATTAAGAGCATCAACAGCATTAGCAGCATCATCTGCATTTTCAAAATTGACAAATCCAAAACACTTGGATTTTCCATCTCCATCCCTCATCACAACAGCACTAGTAATTGGTCCATATTCACCAAAAACATTCTTCAAATCTTCATCTGTTGTTGTTTCAGAAAGATTTTTCACGTAGACATTATTGAATTTTGCTTTACCCAATGAACTATCCCTTTCATGCTTACGAAGAAAATGTCCCACATACACTTGTTTATCATTAATAAGCATGCCATTTAGCTTATCAATAGCACTTTGAGCAGCTTCTTCAGTGTCAAACTGAACAAAACCATAACCTTTGGATTGCCCAGAAGCATCAGTGGCTATCTTGCATGAAAGAATGTTTCCAAATGAAGAAAACGTTTCGTGTAATGCTTTGTGGTCAATAGTCTTATCCAGATTCTGCACTCAAAATAAACAAACACTGATATAAACAAATAGACAGCACCACTAGAAACAGACCACAATAAGAATGAAAACATACCTTAATAAATATGTTTCCAGTACCACTCTTGCGGATACTAGGATCCCGATGAGAATACATGATCCTAATGGGCTTGTTATTCAGAGGAGTGAAGTTCAGCACATCCAATGCCCTTGCCGCTGTAGACAGCAAAAAATCAAACAGCATTTTTCATCAGAAAACGAAACATTATAAAACTTAGCCGCCATCAAATTAATTAACCAATAATTTGTCTTACAAGGCATCATAAAACCCTCGCACGTGTCTCCTACAACAGTAGATACTACTGTTTCATTCAAGTGACAATGTACCGATTTCAACTGTATTTATATTATGTTAACATAGGGTTGGTAATACTACTTGTCTACTTATTCAACAAATAAGCAGAAACAATGTAAATAAGTGTACTGCTGCTAAGTTTAAGTACCTTCGCTCCTACAAATACATAATCTATGCTTATTAAAAATCATTGCTCCAAGCCGTTTGCAAGTAGCTTAGCAATCCAAAGTTGATTTGCAAATAATAACTAAGAAATTCACTAGCGTAATGAGTTTTATAAATGTAAAGCCAAGCAAACAACACTCTAATCAATAATTAACAGATACAATACAATAAATCGGTTCAATTGTAAAAATACCAAAAGTTATGATACTGACCATCTGTGGGATTGCTATAATTAACATAACCATAGCCAAGTGATCTCCTGGTGCTTAGGTCCCGACAAACCCTGACCGATACGACTTGGCCGACCTGGTTAAACAGATCGTAGAGTTGCGAATCGGTCACATTAAAATCGAGATCGCCAACATAAAGCGACGTCGTAAGGAACTGGTTTCCAGCCGCCACTCCGTTCGGCCCTGATATTGGTGCCTGATGCTGAACCTGAATCTGCGCCATCGCCAAAATTCTAGATTCTTCTTTCTCTTTTCTTTTTTTCTTTTTCCGCTTTTTCTCTGTTTTTTTGTTTCCCTCTCCTCTGGTAACTTTTCAAGCTAAAACCTAGAGAGATAACAAGACAGTAAATCTGACTCTAATTAAATTCAAGAGAACAAAACGCTAAAACTGAGGATTTTTGCAGTCTACTTCTTTTGATTTTTTTGTTTTTTTTTTTTTTTTGAGATTTTAGAAGATAGGAGAGGAGAGGGAAAGGTAAGTGGGATAGATCGTCGGAGATCCGAACGGAATCGGACGGAATTCGACGGAGGAAGAAACCAAAATATTTTTTAAGGTTTCTGAGCGGGAGGGCAGAACAAACTGCACCGCACCGGCTAAAGTATAACTGTGTGGTTTATATAGCGAAGTTACTAGAAGAAACCCTAGATTGATTTCAAAATGAACGCGAACTGTCTGATGATAGACACCTGTCAGGCTGTCACTTCTCTGGGACGGTTCCAGTTAAGAGATAATCGGGTATTACGTATGAATAAGTAACCGACTAACGACACGTCTCAGAATTACTACCTGCCAAAGTTATCTGTGGTTTTTCACTTATTTTACCGTGCTTAAAATTTGTGAAATTATAATTTATAAATCACCCAAAAAAATCAGTATTAATTAATCGGAATTAATATTATTAATTAATTATAAATACATTGCCCCCAACTTATAATTCATAGAGTTAGGAGTCGACATTATCAAGTTTCTGTGCAACCATCCGATAAAATACTGTAATTATATGCTATAAATATGGAAAGATTGTGTTAGAGGCGGACTTATCATTTATCTGTACGTGGGAGTTTTGACTCGATCAATAGTAAAACCGAAAGGGAAGCAGTCAATCAAAGATAATCGTAGTCCAAGTTAAGAAGAATCATTCATGGAATGGGCCTGACGGTAACAGAACGATTGCTCCATGTAGGCAGCCGAATTTAAGCCCGAACTTTGGGCATGTTTATTAGAGAGCCTATATCAAAAGCCACATCCTAGCCCATATTGGAAAATGCCGTTTCTCAAGCCTCGGTCCTGAACCAGTGATGCCTATTGAGCTTTGCTTAATGGGCCTTTAAATCCGTCTTGAACCCGAGCAATAATGTTCCTTTCATACTAACCCAGCCTTCATCCTGAATAGAAATGCCGATTTTTATTCTGTATATATTTGTTATTTTATGAGGTGCAACCAAGATTATGTCGGTACAATTAATACTATTAATCAATAATGTTAAAGATAATGGTGCATCTTCGACTGTCTCTTCTAAATAATACATTTGAGTAATTAATGTTTGTAATGTACATATAAGAAAATAGAAAAGATAATGGTGCATTTTCGACTGTCTCTTCTAAATAATACATTTGAGTAATTAATGTTTGTAATGTACATATAAGAAAATAGAAAAGAAAATTCTATCCTCTCCATATGAGTGTTTCCTTAAATTTTCAAAAATTATATATCATGTGTCTATTTTTAGTTAGTCATGTGTGATAAAGATTTATTATTATTATTATTATTATTGTTAATAACTAATCTCACATTTTGTATCTTTTCCTGATCAAAATTTAGATCTGGAAAACATACAAGTTCAAAATAGAAAACCAATTCAATAGTTAAATTAACTGTTACGAGACACCAATTCAAGCTTATTAACCAGAGCAACATGATTTCATAAAAGGGACTAAGTTTTAGTTTGAGATTGTTATAGGTTATCTCATAGTCATTTATGGGTTAACTTTTAAAATAGGCCGAATAACATCTTCTCACCCGAAGTTTGCCCTAAAGACAATTTCGTATCCAAAAGTTTGAAAATGACAATTACCCACCGGCTGTTAAGATCTGTTAAACAGTTTTTCACCCTACCATTACGATAAGTTAGTAAAATTCGTTCAAAGAAGGATATGATGGTAATTTTCCATGCGGCAAAAAATAATTGGAAGAAATGGTGGCCGACGATAGGGAAAATAGCCCTAAAAAAATATAATCAATCAACAAAAAATTCATTCGGGTCTGATTCTGGCTTCCCCGACCTCCACTAACCAAAACCCTCAAAGTTCCCAAGCCTCTCCTTCCACCATTCTAGGGGTGTAGCTGAGCCAAGTCATTCACAAATGGCTCGAGCTCAGCTCAAGCACGAGAGGCTTAGGTGTTCTTTCGAGCTGAGCTGAGCCACCGAGTGCTTGGCTCGATAGGGTCATGAACTTTTATAGGCTTGAAAGGGTATAAGTGTAAGATTTTCATGTATGAGGTGCAAGTTTTTCAAGTATGAGGGGGGTGTACGTGATTTATCATTTTTTATATAAATTGTTTTAATTCCAATACCCAACATATTTTTCTTGAACAGCCACACTTTCAATCTCCTTTCTCCAACAGCTGACACTTTCCTTCTGCTTTCTTTTCTCCTTCCTTTTTCTTCCCCCTTCTTTATTCTTTCCTTCTTCTTCCTTTAGCTCTTCTACCTTGGTTGAAGAATCCTATTTCACTCGTCCCTTTTCCAAGCCAACTTTTCTTCTCCGAAATGTTTCACTCACAATAGTGAAGAATCAATGTCTATTCAAAGTTTACGATGTTGGAGTGATTGAGAGTAGCCATTTCATAAATGGGTCTGCTTTCTTGAATTAATTTTATGATGAATTTGAGTCAGTAAAATTAATTTTCAGGGATAGAGAGAATGTGATTTGTTTGTTAAGGGGTACAAATTTTATTTATAATTATAGATGTAATTTTGATGTGAAATTTTTGTTGGGTATTTTGGTAGATGGATGTATGGTAATTTTGATGGCACAAGGGATTTTGATTTTGGATACGAAGAGTGTGAGCAAAGAACTTAATCTTTTGAAGAGAAAGAGAAAAAGTGAACGAGCCGAGCTCGATCTCAAGCCTTGTTTTTACAGCTCGCCAGGCTCGAGCTCGAGCTTGAACTTAATATATTTTTCACGAGCCAAACTTGAGCATCGAGGTGTTTGGCTCGGCTCGGCTCATATACAACCCTACACCATTCGTCAGCAATCACAAAGTTAAGGTTTTGTTGTTCTAAGCCAAATTACTATGACAAACAGTTGCGTTGGTGCGCGCTGGGGATGGAGGTCATTGATTACGACCTTTTATCGAGCACGTTGTGTGCATGCTGGAAAATGTCAAAGGAGGGAGCCTTGAGGAGCGCCAACGACCAAAAAACACAAAACCACACAAGTAAACAACTCTTCAACAACAAGAATTCCAACAACCAACTCCAAAAGAGCCTAGGATCATCAACAAAAGAGTGGCAACTTGCTGGTTGGGGAATTTTCACAAACAATTGAAGGTCGGGCAAAGACAGAGTGGTGCACAACAAACGATGAGTGTGGGGGGGTGGGGAATAGTAGTTTGGGTTTCAAAAAAGGCATGGTAGGGATTAAAATGGTGGTGGAATGGTGGATTTCCTGTATGAATATCGATTGAAATCCAACCTCAAATATGGGTAGTTGTGAGGAAGAACAGTGGCCAGATTTTGGTGATTAATGGGTGCACCGGTGTTGGGATTAGGTGGGTTTGAGTGAGGGAGGGCCAGGAGGGTGGATGGAGGTGGTTTTGGGTGAAAAAACTGCCATAAAAGTGGCCAAAATGTCGATGGCAGCGTTTGCTAACGTGCATCGTTGAGCTAAAGAATATGGGAGGAGTTAGGGTTTTTTATTTTGTATATAGGGGGCAAAATGACATACGTACCCTTTGACTGTTTTTGAATTTACCAAATTAATGAAAAGAATTAACGGTTGGTGGCTAATTGTCTTTTTCAAACTTTTTGGGTACGAAATCATCTTTAAGGCAAACTTCGGGTGGAAGGATGTGGTTCGACCTTTAAAATAATCAACTTTAAAAATAATTTATGAATTGTTTGTTTTGATTAATTTTAAAATTATTTTTTATTTTAGGGAATTAGATATGACCAATCCAAAAAGACCAAGATAATATCCTCTAATTAATTTTATTTTCTACTATTAAACATATTAAAATTTAATTTTTTTAAATTGTAAGAGGCGTTTGGATCATATAATATTTCATTTTAGGGGAATGTTATATTAATGAAAAAATAGACCACCTTGAAGATTACTAGGAATATTTAGAAAATGTGTTTGGTTGGTTCGAATAAATTGGTGAATAATATATTTGGTTGAGAGGATAAATAGGTGGGTATGTTATATAGATTACTAAATTGCCCTCCTTTTTAAATATTAATATAATTTTTTTTTTAATCATCTCTTTTAACCCCCTACATTTGAAATTGTGCTAAAACACCCCAACTATATAAAGCTTTAATTTATAACAAAATCACCCCCACCTACCCCAAGCCATTGCCGGTAGCTAGCCATCACTGCCAGCTGCCGTTTGCAGTCGACGGAATGGCACACAATTGGCTATATATAGTTGGTTGGGCGCTGACGAAGCCATTTTCAGCCATGGATCACAAATTCATGGCCGTTTCATAGCCAAATCTATGGCCATTTCACGACCAAAGATGTGGCTGTGAAAAGGTCAGATCTTTGGCCATTAAATGGCGGCCATGCAACGGCTATAGGAACAGCTAGATCTGGTTGTTTCCGACCATGGATCTATGATCCATGGTTTGAAAAGGCCTTAACAGCGCAAGACTAGCCAGATCCTGCCAGCCGTGTACCATTACAACAACTGACACTGACAGCCGACGGTGGTGCGTAATGATCGCCAGTGGTCTTGGGTGGTTGGGGGTATTTTGTTAACTTTTATACTTTTTGTGGCTGGGGTGTTTTCACTAATTTCTCAAATACAGGGAAGCTGGGCTAATTGTTATTTAATTTGGTAGATATTTAAGGGCAATTGTGTCCAAAATGGTTTTTAATTAAGTGCAAAATAGGTATAAAAATCAATTACCTAGTAAAGCTTTAATCCCAAGGGTGGAGGAGGGTATTAGATTAGCCCCCGCATTACCAGCAGTAAACACTAGTTACAATAA